ACAATCCGTGATTTCTGTGTCCTTGATACCAAAAATCAGATTGATGGCAAAAAGTCTGTCAGTTTGTCTGTGAACATCGCTAGCAGCTACTCTGTTCAGTCGATGAGTTCCAAAATTGATACTCTTCAATCGATCTGACTGATGTTGCGGCCCCTTGAATTTTAAAACCGATATTTTAATTTTGGGGGGTACTTTACATGAAACCCTTGGGAAATTTTCTAACTTAAAAAAAAATGTTGCCATCGATTTTGATTAAATTTTGTTAGTGGATAGTCTAAAAGACAAAGATGGTGCAGATCTCATTTTTTCGCACATTGGTGGCCAAAATTAATTCAAATTTGGCACCATGCTAGGAGCTCATTCTGTTTAGCAACTTCTGGAGTTATTTAAGAAGAAAAGATGATACATTTCAGACGTCACGCTAACGAGATAGTTTAAATTTAGCCCCAAAACCCTAGAATTCTCTCGCAAGTAGCAAAAAATGCATTTTATAAGAAACTTTTTGAAATAAACCTTCAAACTTCTTCCAAAAGTGACCGGTAGATCTCACCACCTCTTAGCCTGCCGGCAACAAAGCTCTTTACATTGTAAAAATTTCCCTGAAACCAGTTTTTTTCACACGTGAATAACGTAAAGATAACTTTTATTTTCATCCAGACAAAGGTAGTCATGACAATCTCTTCAATACTTAATTATTCTTATCGCAAGGTGTTAATCTTGTCAATTATGTGATGTGTTTTCAGAATCTTCTCGACTGACGAGAACACACAGAGGCGAAGCACAGAACTTCTCGTCGCATTTTCTGCAAATGCTCTCCAAATCATCTAAGCAATATTTCGCAGCCTCAAAACTGATGTTGATTGAAACCACTGACTCTTCGAAAATTGAAAAAAAATCAATTTTTTTTTCGAGGACTTTCTGCAACTACAATTGGTAGCGTACCTGTGCGAGATCTCTCGCATGTTAAATCTCACTCTCTTCCCTATCCTTCCATTTTCATATTAAGAGGAAAAGTTAACGAAACGTGTTTATTTTTTTAAAATGTATAACGGTAACTTCCAAGGTATTTAAAGAATATCAAATGAAAATAAAAAAAAACTGTGCAATTGATGTTTGAAACAAATTTTCACCAAGGGCTTATTCAGAATTATAGATAAATAGAATATTTGGATGAAAAAGTTCACAAAACTTCCTTAAAACATTTTAATCAATTATACAATCTTCCTCGACAACTTTTTACTTTCCTTGATGGTCACAAATACTTAAAAAAAGCATTTTGCTCCTGAAAAAGCTAAGTAAATTTCTCCGTGCGAAAATGCAGGATTGGTCCAATACAACCCTACTCTTTACAATATTATTTAACTTCATTACACTGGACGGCGAGGTACACCTGTGCAATTTAATCGCATATTCTATCAAGTAATTAGTTTAATTTCGCAAACAGTGGCAGAACTGTATGCTCTGAACAGTGGGGTAGTATCATGCAGTGGCGCAGCTCGGTACGTTTTTTGGCTAGTTTGGGATGCGCGCGCCTACAGCTAGCCATCCTGGTGGACATAACGTAAAACAAAGGATAGGTGAAGTCAGCGCCGTTTGGAATTAATGCCCACATCCGAGAAGTCAACGTCGCTTTGCTTACCAGAGGGCGTCGCTGAAGTACACTGAATTGTTATTGAAGTTGCATTATTAAGAACAGGTTAAGCATTTACAAACTAACTGGGGTTGTTTGTTGATATTTTCATAATATATACGTTCGGAACTCCTCAAAACGAAACATTAGCCTCGCATTTAGTGAAAAAAAATTGCTTCACCTCTAGCTCAAGGAAAAATAATTGTGAGGGAATTAAATAGTAGAAGTGAATGCTATTAAGCAATTATACAAACTCTAAGAAAACCATTTTGCGAGAGGTTGTTGTGAAGAAGACAGTTCTGAAAATTGTCTTGAGAGTAAGAATTTACTCTTTGTTGAAATTCACCAACAGAGAATTATTTCAGCAAGGAGAAAGCAAGAGAAAATATTTAAATTCCAGCATTTGGGATATTCATATTTTATAAGTATGAAAATAATAGAAAATAGTTTAGATGTTGATGTGAATAAAAAAATATTCTTTAAAAAAATTATAACTTTATAATATATTGCCGCCGCGTTGGGCATGCTAATGAAATAAATCAAACGTTCTCTTATAATAATCTACAATTTCATAATATATACTGTATTTCTCTATCATTACTCTCCTTGATTTACTTATTTTGCCCAGCGTTGGTCGTACTATTTTAGCAACTCAGAATTCTACCCAATACCATTTACATTTACAATATTTTTAATTTGGTGGAGAGACTGGCTCTGTTTTTTTAAATATCCGCATACTTACGCTTTCTCTCTTTATAATTGTATTCGTGAGCTACAAAATACTGCTCATACGAGTATTTGGGAGGTTAATAATTTAGTTATCGTTAGGAAATATTTATTACTACAGTTACTGATAAATTAAACATCTTGCAAATTTTGTTTATTTATTTACGTCAAATTAGTTATTTATCTACATTAGTTACTTATTTACGTCAAAAGCAGTTAAAAACTGTGTGTGACGTGCTATGTGGAGAAGTTAATTTGAAGTTACATTTTGGTCCAGAAGTAAAACAAAGGCCATCTCAGCATTTGCTCAAGGGTCAGGGAAACTAGCCAAAAACCTGATCAAGATAGGGGGTCATTGACCCGGAAGCTGCAGTACAATACTTGTTACACGTTCTTTACAATTATACAATCCAAATGGTAAATAATACACTAAATGTCGCTAAAATTAATATTACTTTCCTTATGGATACTCGGTATAGTCTCTAATCGTATAGAAACAGTTGTGCATCAGAAAAGATTTTTACTTGGGACTTTTGTTTCGAATTTAATCGTTTAATGTCATCGGGCTAGGTGTTGAAAAATAATGTACGTGTATTGTGTGCGAATTTTTTGAAGTGAGCTGTTAATACTGTCACCAGAAGAATATGATTATTACATCGAGTCGACAAAGGCGGTAGACAACGGCGTTTCCTGAAAATATATTCCCGCCCTTAAGTAAGTCATTTTTGACAAAAAACACTGATTCATATATGAAGAGACGAGTTAATGGTAAAATACCCAGATTAATAAAGAGAGTCTTACAAGAATCACGTGGGTGGTATTTGCTTATTATTCGTACAATTCGTTTATGTAATCTAAAAGTCTGGGAGCTATAATAAGTATTTCCCCGGAATATTATGCCATATCTCAGGCGGGAATTAACATTCACGAAATATACCCAACGAGCAGTATAGAGGCATGCTGAATTTGAAACAATTCTGAAAGCGTAACATAAAGATATTAATTTAGTGCTCAATTCATTTAAATGGACGTAGAATTTCAAAAATTAGGAGAATTTGATTATGTATGGATCTGGTTCACTGAATGCGTTTGTTTCGCGCACAAGGGGCTCGTGCTAGGGATTGATGCTGCATCAGTCCATGGAACTCTTAAATATGGTGACATGAGTGGCAAGGAAAAACTATTGTGGTCAGGGAGAACCCAAAGCGTGCATGAACAATTGACGGGTCGTGAGCGTAGGAATAGTTTATTTATTTTATTCTCCCGAGTGACAAACAAGCGAAAGGTACCCGTTCTGACGTAAGTAAGAGATAGATAAAAGGTTCAAACAAAACAAATTGATTAAACTCAGGAAACAACTGTAATGAAATTACAAATTTTATTTTCCAATCGTGAGACAAGTGAACGGGATGAACCACAGTACTTAGTTTTAATAGGGATTAGTAGGTATTGGATGAAAATGAATAATTGAGTGCTTAATTTTGAAAATAGAAAATAAGGGGACATGTTAAAACATTTGTAAAGTAATTTATTTACGAACCGGTAAGGTTACGAGCTAAAACTCGTATTAAAAAACGTATTTCTGTACAAAGTAAGGAAATAAACCGACGAAGAAATTACAGGCGTTTCATTAACAAAAACTTTAGTCGATGTTAAGGATCGAAAAAAATTGTCATGGTTTTGTCGTGTAAAAGTGTCATGTCAAAATTTGTCATGTAAAAGTGTAGTACGCGATGTTATGAACATTGATTTTTGGTGTTGCAAAGTGGAAGGCGAGCATGGACTGAACAGGATATGAATACGAGTATATGGAATGAAATGAAATCTGTTAGAGCGCAAATGGAAAGAGCCTGGTGGCTTGAAGACAACAACAGGGAAGTTTAAGAATTATACTTTTATTTTCGGAGTCAGCACGTAATATTATAGGAAAGCCCAAACACGTTTTTTTTATTTTAATAAGAAATAGTTAAAAAATAATATGCCATGGCCATGTGAAAACGAATGCCCATTGATATTAAGTGTGAATGTGTTGTAAATATTTTTGTTTTGGTTTTAAGAGTATTTGTTTATGATTTGTGTCCTGTTTTGCTAGTTTTGAGAGGCGGCAAGGACGCCGAGAAATAGTAATTTAAAAAATAAATGATGCACCGATGTCTGACGGTGACAACAATTATAAAGGAATGTTTAGTGTTTTGTTCATTGGGGAAAGAAGGGAGCAATTACGTGTTATCCTACAATTGGTGGTAAATCTCCCGTTTCCTCTATGGGAGGCGGTGAATAAATTTTCTAAAACGGTCCGAAATCCTGCTTAGCGTAGTATGTATTTGTATTTATAATTGCGACGAAGTAAATGTTAATATTTCCTGTTATATAAATAAAGAGATATAAGGAACCGCTTCAAGAATACGCATATCGTAGGGTGAAATTAAGTAAATATTATTAAAAGCAGAGATCACAAATCGTCTCAGTGGCAAGCCCAGCCTGGGTCAAAAACATAAATATAATATTTTATAAAAATAAGGAGACACAAATCGTTTCAATACCGAGAACAAACTCTCTCATTGTACTGGACTGCACCTTCCTCTGAATGGCATGTTTCTAGTTTTTTGCTACCCACTCCGAAATTTGAATGCACTTTACTTACTTGATTTAGTCGCAGTAACTGTTGGTTATCAGTGAAGCACCCTTGACCCTGGGTATTCGTGTTCATGACGGCGGAGGCGGCCTCGCCGCTCTATTGGGAGATGGGGAGACCGGACGACAATTGTGGTAGACGTTGATTCAGTTGACCATGTTGCCATTGCTGATGTTGAAGCTCGGTCAATTGTTGTTGAATGTGATGCTGTTGAGTTAACTGCTCTATTTGCATATTATGAGCCATTTTCTCGTCAGAAGCGTCTAGGATAGTTTCGGTCGACATTTATGTAGTTGCAATGTCCGAAGCCGTTTAAAATATTGATTCTGGTTACACTAGTCACTTTGCGAGCACTGTTTAAATCACTTTTAAACAATTTGCAAACATAGTTCGTGAGACTCAAAGAGAATAGAACGCAGGTAGTCAAGACTTATCACCGAGAAACGAAACTTTACCTGATAAGACTGCCGAGAAACGTTCGCGGATCGATGTTAACCGTGCTGTGGTCGGCGAAGGAATGAGAAGATACATTTTAAACCTTTCTTTATGAATACGATAGAAAAAATATATATAAAAAAGAATTAGTTTAACAATGTGGCAATTTTTGAAAGTGTTGGTATAATATAAAAAACTCCACAAAAATAATATACGTGAGTCTACAAGTATTTTATTTTGCAGTTTAGATTTGTTTATTGTTTTGAGTTATAAAGCGAGGAATGTTTGGGAGCTGGAACTCCCAATAAGAAACTTTTAATAAGTATACTTTTTTAGTGAGAAAGTGAGAGTGGTAGACCGGAAATTTCCAGAAACGGGGCAAGACAAGACACGGCTAACTGGGCGGGGTAGGGATACCATGGAATACATAGAAGCAGGCTCCACCGCAGCGCATGAATAAATTGAATACCACTTCCTGGCTAATAATTTACTGTAATAAATACCTGAGCAACGACGGGTACTTCAGCTAGTAATACGTATACCACCAGGCAGCAAGAAGTAAGTAAGCGTTGATGTTGCTTTCCCCTTCCTTAAGCAAAAAACAATTGAAGGCAAAAACTCGCAGCGAGCACTTATAACAACATTCCAAACAGTTAAAAACGACGTTGGTGCGATACAGAAGCCAGTCAAAGCTAAATACTGTCAAAGTCGAGAACTTCTCTTCGGGTTTATTCACAATAATATCTAAAGATATGTCTGAGGTAGGTCCAGGTCCTTCACAGGAGGCACCTCAAACTCCTGAGAAAGTTAAGAGAATGTGTACTAGCGGCGAAGAAAAAGTATCGAAAAAGTTACGAATGCTTGTAAAATGTGAAACTGGGTTTTGTTGTGTTCTTTGAGTAACGCTTTAGATCGGGCTTCAGCGTACACGAAAGCTAGTATTTCCACGATACGTAAAACGAAGATAAAAGGAGCCAATGACTCTTTACTCTTCGGTTCGGCGCCTCTCAAAATGGCGCGGACGCTACGGAAGGGGCGGCGCGCGTCTCGGGACTCGCCACCTCCAGCTCGCCACTTCCAGCATCCGCTTCATACTCTCTGCTCGCCACTTCCAGCATCCGAGCCGGAGGGCGCATGAGAGCGTGGTTTGGAGCGCGGCGAAGCCACCAATCCGAGCCAGAGGACGCATGAGAGCGTGGTTTGGAGCGCGGCGAAGCCACCAATCCGAGCCAGAGGGCGCATGAGAGCGTGGTTTGGAGCGCGGCGAAGCCACCAATCCGAGCCGGAGGGCGCATGAGAGCGTGGTTTGGAGCCTGCCGAAGCCACCCATCCGAGCCCGAGGGCGCATGAGAGCGTGGTTTGGAGCCCGGCGAAGCAACCAATCCGAGCTGGAGGGCGCATGAGAGCGTGGTTTGGAGCGCGGCGAAACCACCAATTCGAGCCGAAGGGCGCATGAGAGCGTGGTTTGGAGCCCGGCGAAGCCACCAATTGGAACTATAGTCTTTGACTATAGACTTTGGAACTATAGTTCAGGCCATATATTAGGCATAGAGGGGATATCTCTATGCCTCTATGATATTAGGCCGCACTACATTCGTATTATAGCATCTAAATGGATTTCCTGTCGGAGTAGCCAACTAATGAAACAATCATTCCGATTAACACTCTCCCTTTTATTTTTTTTATCATACATTCATAGGGTGATGGAAGAGTTCACATTACAATAACGTATGTCTCGTTTTTCGTTAGAATTAAACAAGATTTTCATCTGCAAACGAATATTAAAGTAGTGAACAATTAAACGAAATGAGTCTAATTCTCTAGTTATTGTGAATATCATTATCAGCAAGTTCCAGCGTTTGAGATTTAAAGTGTGTCAAGGGCAAATGAAAAACACAATATTGATCTTTATCTGTGATCTTGTGCTAAATGTTGAGTACACAGACTTGTGTTAATAATGCTTTTGAGATGATAGTGTTACGAAGTTTTTCACGATTTGTCAGATAATAATGATTTATATTGGAAAAAAATATATAAATCCAATTGCTTAAGATTATTATTTTGCATATATGTGGTAATTTTTGAGACTAATGAATTGTATCTAACAGTCCAAAAGATATTAATATTAATGCAAATGCATCCAGTGTATTTAGCTGATTAATTAAATTACATTTCAAAAGTAATTCTGTAAAAAAATAAGTAATTACTATATTATTGGTCGTCTTCAGTAACTTGCCTGTTCTTATAAGTGACAGACTTATACATATTTCTTCTCTATTAAATCGGGATGTGATACGTGTTATAGGGATAGTTAGGGTAATAAATAGAACTTTTTGATTTTTTAGTTATTTATTGAAATAGGAATGCACTCTGTGAACAAGCATGACAAAGTAAATATATAAAGTTGCACAATGATATTTCACTCTTCTACTATCAGTGAATGTGACTACAATACTCTTTAACTACAGGATTACCATATTATAATCTAGTTTCCATTACAAATGTATGCCAAATTATTCCCAAAATGTATCCAATCAGTAAAAGATTATTAAATTTATTACCCCACTTAAACACACACACACTTGTAGTGCTGATAGAGAGTGTGAAAACGTTCAAGGTAAGACAATGGTTATTTTCACTTAAATTAGTGTATTATGTCAAATACAATTTAGAAATGTATGTAGGATTTGGGGAAAGAAACGTGGTGCAACTTACACAAAACCAAGTTACAAGTAATGCTGCAGATGTTACCAAGTCACAAACTGGCTACAAAAAATTAAACAATTCTAATGTTCTAGAAAAATGTATAAGAAATTACCATTAATAAATATAGCCATGCAAGGCAGCTTAAAATAACCATCTCTAGACTGCCTCGAGTCATGTTTCATTAAAAAACAATATTTGGCGTGCTGGAGTTTGTTTGGGCTTGTAACATAAACTCTCTTTTATAAATTATTGTTTCATTCTCATTCACACGAACATACCCGTTTTCCTTCTCCCAAATAAAACCAATGTTCTTTACTATACGCTTCACGAAGGTCTGACTACGAAAGCTTTGAAAATTTAATGTACTCGTATCATCACCTGCAATCTCTGCCAGGTTTCTTGTAGAAATACTAAGATCTACATAAAATAGAATTACTTGCCCTTCACATAAAATACTACAAAACAAATTAATCATTGTATAGATTAATTAAATTCTAAAATAATAATGTAATGAAAATGTCTAAATATTCTGCACTCAAACCACAATATATTTTATTCGTAGTTCCAGCCTTTGTTAAATTGTCAATGTATTTTTTTTTTTTTTTTAGTAGTATTACTCGCGCAACTTTTCTTGCTTCCCCTTCTGGCACAAAAAACAGTTGAAGGCAAAAGCTCGCAGGGAGCACTGATGACATTCCAAACACATTTTTACTGGCGTGAAATAGAAACAATTTTTTTGAAGGGGAGAACTTCTCTCCCTTATTTTCTACAAAAAATCTAAAGAAATGACCAAAGCAGGTAAAGATTTATTGCAGGAGATACCTCGAACTCCTAACAACATTAGAATGCAAATTATTGAGAATGTCGCGAAGGCATGACTGATTCTCCAAAGATTGGCATTGCTTCATAAAATCTAGTGGCCGATTTCATAACTAATACCCCTACTCTACCCTCATTTCTTCAATTCATCGTTCAAGAAAAGTTGCGCGAGTAATACCTGCATGGGATAATAGTTACAGACAATTACTACACCAATAACAATTTTATTCATGAAAAGTAAACCTGTCAGTTTTATAAGATAATATTTACCAATAAAAAACAATAATCTAACCTGTAATCATTTTGCCGTTCATCTTGTCAAACAAACATGAATAACAATGCTTCCACTGATTCCGTCTACAATCTACAAAATAAATTTACAATTCCATTTTAAAGAGAACTTTGAATTCATTTTAACCTTAAAGGGAAAATAAGCATAGACCTAGATATAGTTGGGCTTTCCATGATTTTTCTGTTATTAATAATTTAGAGTCCGAAAAATTATTAATAAATATAATACAATTCATTTTACACAAAAAATACTAAATCGAAATAACTAACCTTTAGTATTAAAACTGTTCGAACCAACTCCATTGTGATTAGTGATGGAAACAATTGAAATATAATGAAAAATGAAAACGCGTAGAACTAAATTAATATATCTGACGAAATAATAAAATGCAAATTTATGAAAAATAGCAAACTGCAAAATGCGAATCGCTAGCAAAAATAGAAAACTAACAGCACTATCCACAAGAATGACTCAAATGTTGGCGGAATCAACAGAAGTTGTAATTTTTTCATTTGCAAACTTAAATTTTAAAAAAATGTCCATATCACATAATCGAAATATATGCAGGGTAATTGTGTGAGGGTTGGCAATGGCTTTTGCCAACAAAAAAGAACGAAACTACACTACATTGAGTATGAATACATAATCTGATCCGACAGACATTTTTCAAAAGTTGCTACGTTAGCTAGTCTTTTTAGCTGGCCACCACTCCACCCGCATTTCTTCAATCCATCGGTCAATAAAAGTTACATGGTTGTATGTATTAGACAAACGACATATAAATAACAGCTTATAAACGTATATAAGTATTGATATGGCCTTGATATATTTTATAAATATAGGGGTATCCATTCTCCCGATTAGTCATTAATTCTTCTCCTAATCACTTACATGTATTATTACAATACAGCAATCAATTGTCTTTCGCAACGATTCATGAATATCGTGTCTATCTTTCAAATAAAAAACATTCTCACTAGTACCACGACCCCCAAAGCATAAAACAAAAGAATACTTCAGACAACGAACGCATAACCTAAACAAGTAAACAACACTCAAGCTAGTGGCGTCTAGTATATAATGGCACCCGCTACCTACTATTGAGGACTTGCGATTTTTTTATTATTCGTCCGAATGTTTTCGAGCCGTCATTATTTTGTGTGCATCGCTGTCGGCGCTGTCTTCGTCATTATAATGTTAAATCTTCCTCTACATGATCACAGAAATGATGTTCATCTACATGATCA